TGAGGCCACCAGCCACTCTCCAGGAGAACTATGGGAAGTCTCCTCCCCTGTGATTAACTGCTTCTGAAAACCCTCTAGAGGGTCAGCTATGGGTCTCGACAGTACACAACAACAACATCCCTTAATTGCAGTGATCCATAGTTAATTACCTGGCCAAACTTCAATCTACTGTGGTGAGAGCAGAAAGGGAAAGAATCACTTAAGTAAGACAAATCTATTAGGCAAGAGATTCTTTTTAGAAGAAATGCTAAAACATCTTTCCTAATGTTTCTTATTAGTCGCTATAGTATACTTGAGGCATCTAGAGCTAGGACCCTTTCTGCACCCTCCCACTCCTCTGCTGAAGGTACGGCATATCATATACAGGCAGTAGGATAATATTATTTGTATGATTTATGTAACAATTTCATGGTTATGTGTATCATGCCTCCCTCCTATTCCCCTCCTCTGTGCCCCCTGCTCCTTTTCTCCCTCTCTGTTTCTCTCTCTCTTTCTCTCTCTCTCTCTCTCACACACACACACACACACACGCACACACAGAGAGAGAGAGAACATGTGTATCTGACACATAACAAATGGCCTGTGTATGGTAACTCTCATCCTTATTCTTTGCTCTGAATGACAACTTGGACACAGATTTTGAGAGACTACCCAGGACTCTCATTTCCCCCTCCCCTATCTATACAGCTTTTCACACACTTAATGGAATGAGGTTGAACATAGACGCACAGCAGACGGCTTGGCTCCTGATGGGTGCATGATTTGTGCTTACTCAAGTGATTTTGTTCTGCTCCATTTAGACATATCTATCTGTGCTGGAGAAGGGTACTGAATGTACCATGGACTGCCAGGAAAACAAACAGATTCATCTTGGAGAGGATTAAACCAAGCTACTCCTTGGAGGCAAGGATTCTGGGGCTTCGTCTGACATACTTTGGACATGTTGACAGGAGGGACGGGTCCTTGGAGAGGGACATCATGCTTGGGAGGGTGGAGGGACAGCGCAGGAGGGGAAGACCCTCTATGAGATGGATTGATTCGGTGACTGGGGTAATCGGGATGGGTGTGTCAGAGGCGGTGCGGTTGGCGCAGGATAGAGCAGGGTTTAGGGCTGTTGTGCATAGGGTCGCTATGAGTCGGAAATGACTGGACGGCACATAACAACAACAACATCTGTGAGGAGTACAGAGGTGGAAGATGGGAGGTCTCATCATTAAATAGGAGACCCTCCCTCACAGCATCTCACAGCTCCCACCCATAACTTCATAAGATAATTTGTAAGATAATGTGATTTGCCAAGAATGTGAAAAGGGACTTTGAGAGCTCAGGTGCTGAAGCCTCAGTGGTGATGACAAAAAGCCATCTAAACCCCTCAGGTGTAGGTGTTTGGCCCTCTGCTCAGGATTCGCCTTTTGAAGACTATATCTGCTTTCACCTTTGCCCTTACTTATGAGTAAGAAATGTAAGGAATTTATGGCCATGTGTTTCGGGTCTGCCTGGCTGGAGGGAGTGAGATAGCGCCTTGCTCTGTACACACACTCACACGACCCAGCACCAGCCTCGCTGAAAGTATGCTTGCTGGAGGCAGATTTATCACCCCTAAACCAAAATATGCCAACTGGGGTTTCAGACAGAGAATTTAAGAATTCAGGAGAACTTCTTACGATGCCCCCTGAGTGAAACTACAAAGAAAATTTTATCATTTTTCATAAAAATGATCTATTTGGTGTAGAAAGGCTAATTATTCTACAAAAAATGTAGAATTCATATTTGCAATATACATATATAAATTCATATTTGCAATATGCATATACAAATTCATATTTGAAATATGAATATACAAATTCCTATTTGCAATATGAATATACAAATTCCTATTTGCAATATGAATATACAAATTCCTATTTGCAATATAATATACAAATTCATATTTGCAATATGAATATACAAATTCATATTTGCAATATGAATATGCAAGACACTTCCTTGGAATCTGAACCCTTGGTGGAGTTTCCACTGATTCTGTGTACTTAGAAATTTAGGAAGATGCTCTGAGATGTGGCAGTAGTCCCTGGAGTAGACTAGTTGCCTGGCCTGCTGGGCTCAGTCCTGCAAGTCTTGTAAAACCAGCACGTCCTTTGATTTAGGGCTGTTTTCCTTGTTATGGGTGGACACACAATTACATTCTCTTTGTTAGTGGTTGCTTATAAAATAAATTAACAGTGGATAATGGGTTTGTCGGACACTATGCATTATTTATGCAACTGTCAGTTTGTGATTTTTTTCCCTAGATAATTGCCTTGTTTTACTTTTTTAAAAATGTTTATTGAGATTTTAATGAAAGGTTACCAAAGACTTGAATTTCCATTCATTCATTGTTGCACATTTTTCTCCCTACCCCCCTCCGGTTTGCTTTTCTCTTTTAAAAAATGTTTTCATCGTTGCACACTGCCCCCCACCCCAGTCCACTTTCCTATGCACCTCTTGTTCTATGCTATTATCATGAAAATAATACTTAATCCTTTATTCCTTTTATACAATTCTCCACCTCGTCTGTTTCCATGCAGTGTACATTATTTATCCCCCTTTTCCCAGTTTTCCCCAACCCCCATGTCAGTTCTGTTTTGTAATGGTGGTTTTATGCAGTTTGTCCTTTTATGACTGATAATGTCCTCCAGATCACCCATTTTGTATAATATTTTATGAGTTCCTTGTTTTTCAGTGCTGCGTAGTATTCCATTATGTGAATATAGCACAGTTTTCTATCCATTCATTTGTTGATGGGCACTTGGGTTGCTCCCATGTCTTTGCTATTGTGAACAACACAGCAGTAAACATAGATGTGCATATATCTGTTTGGGTGTCAGTTATGGTCTCTTTGGGGTATATTCCCAGTAGTGGAATTGCTGGGTCAAATGGTATTTCTGTTTCCAACTTTTTGAGAAGGTGCCATACTGCCTTCCAGAGTGGTTGCACCATTTTACATTCCCCTAAACAGCGAATAAGGGTTCCAGTTTTTCCACAACCTCGCCAGCATTTGTTGTTTGCTGCTCTGTTGAACTCTCCTATTGAATTTTTTTTTTAAAGATCTTTATAGTTTTGTTTGAAGTAAGCTTACAAATTAACTTTGGTCCACTAAGTGCTTTATCCTAGAGTTCTGATAGCTGTGTATCTAGATAAAATGTTAATCACACATAAAAACAGACAGAGGTAATGGTTAGAGCCATTCACATTGATCACCAGTGTGGCGGCCGTTGGTGGTCATCCAGTCGAAGATCTTGCTCACCGGGCACGCGCTCATGATTGTTGGTCTGCTTGAGCCCTTGCTGGCTTTATTGTGTCATCCCACTGAAGGTTTCCCACCTTATTTCTGATATGCTTTGCCAAGCATGCTGTCCTTTTCTAGTGATGTCCCTCTCTTGATGATGTGTCCGAAGTGAATTAAAGAATCCCCATCCTTCTAAGGAGCTTTCTGCTTGTGTGTTTTTTCTAAGACCAATTTGTTAGTTCTTTCAGCAGTCCATAGTATATTCCAAATTCTCCACTAACCTGGATCATGATTTCATTACCAATAGCCACTAACATTGGTGACGTTAATTCCAATTCTTTGTGGTCCTGCGTCAGATTTCCAAGGTTGTCTACCTGAAAGAGCTTGTCTATCCTTCTCCCTGGAATGAATGCCTGGTGGATTTGAACAGCCAACATTTTGGTTGGCAGCCTGACATATAACACCTACACCACACATGTTGGGGAAATACAAATCCCTCCAACCACGCACCCTACTTGAATGTTGTATCATTTATATATGTATTTAAAACAAGTGTCGCTCACTTAATAGGTTCTTATGGTTAGTATCTCTCTGGTAGAACTTTAGTTAGTATTAAATGTCCTAAAACCCTGTGGGTAACATGCACTCAGGCCTTGATTTCCCTGAAATCTTTAAGACTGGTGATCCTATATACTTAGCCTATAAGTGCTAACTCATCCACTGAGGTTAAGTTCAAATCCAGTGGAACAGACAATGTAATAATACAAGTAGCTGTATCTCTACTGCAAAGTGGAAAAGCAGTAGAAGATAGTAAAATGTGTGTCAGAGGAAAATTCCTAAAATCTTAGCCATAGTGTATTGTTTTGTTTCCAATTGTCTTACCAGCTGAGCTTCCGAGAAGTACATTCAAAACCCATTTATAACCTCCGCATGGGACAGAGTAACTGTATGCCCCAAGTTGAGAATGTTCTGTCCTCATCTTAAGGACTTTATATAAACTATGTATATTTTCATTTTCCAGCATTTAGACCTTATAACTATATATTGTTGTTCTGTGCTGTCAAGCCAGAACCAATTCACAACTGATTGTCCAGAGTTTTCAGAGGTGATAAATTGCATGGAAGAAGATTGCTCCTTGTTCCCCAGTAGAGCAGCTGGTGGATTCAAACCACCTGCCTTTGGATTGGTAGCACAACTCCTTATCACTAGTATAGGAACCAGAGGTTCCTATACGATCTATAGTTAAAAGAAATATAATATTACGAAAGCACACAGTGGTAGCTGAGTAGTAGTTTCCTTGCCTTTGATGCAGGAAACCCGGGTTCAGTTTTGAGCTAAGGCATCTCTCATACACAGACATGACTTGTCTGTCTGTGGAGGCTTGTGAGTTGCTGTGGTGGTGAACAAGTTTCCCTGGAGCTTCTACATTTGAAAGTATTCTAGGAAGAAAGGCCTGGCAGTCCCTAAAAATCAGCCTATGAGAACCTTACCAGTCAGTGTGGTTCAAGCTCCAGCTGACCCTGGGGAGGATGCAGGACCAGACAGTGTTTCGTTTCCCTGTGCCTGGGGTCCCCATGGGCCGGCGGCTGTCTCTATAGTAACTTTCTGCTAAAGAATAAAATGATACTAAAATCTGAGGGATTATCTGAGGTAGCCAGGCTTTGGAACTCGGTCGTGAGGGTTCAGTGTGGAAAATGAACTTGACGGAGTGAATCTTGCTTGTTTTGGCCAGAACCAGCCTTCTACTTCGGCGACGTGGCGTACTCCGTGGACGAAGGTGCCGGCTCCGTGGAGGTGCGTGTGTGGAGGGCGGGCACCGACCTGTCTCCGCTGTCCAGTGTCACAGTGCGGTCTCGGAAGACAGACCCACCCTCAGCAGAAGGTGAGCACTTCCCACAGCAGCCTTCTCACTCCCCTTGAGATTCCAGAGCATTCCATTCCAGAGCATTCCACGGGCTCCAACTGAACAGTACCCAAAGTCACTGAAGCCTGAAATCCCGCGTTCCTACTAAAGCAGTCTGGCTGAAAGAATTAAAAAAAAAAAATAAAATAATTAGTAAACCTAGACTCTACAGGTTTGTGGTGGTGGTGGTTGTGTGCTGTTGAGTTGGAACCTACTTATAACTGACCTTCCAGCAGGTTTTCACAGACTGTAAATTACATGTGAGGAGATTGCCCATCTTTCTCCAGCAAACCAGAGTATACGAAAGAAAGTTGTATCTTTTCCAATAGAGTTGGGGGGGGTGGGGATTGAGGAGGAGGAGAAGGAGTCAGTTAATTGCCCAGGAGGAGACTGCCCATCCATCTCCCGTGGAGCAGCTGGTGGATTCAAACTGCATACTTTGACACTGGCTACATAATTCCTTACCACTAAGCCTCCCTTCCTATAGATTTAGCAAACCTAAAAAAATAGTTTTATAAACTGACACTCTTTTTCTTTTTTTTAAATTTCTTTTTTATTTTCTTATTTTTGTGTGTGTGTACCATCGAATTGGATCTGACTGGTACAGGAGGAGGTTGACCCTCCTTCTCCAGTGAAGCATCTGGTGGATTTGAACCGCTTGACTTTGTAATTGCATCACAGCTTCTTGCCACTAGGCCACCAGAGCTCCATCTTTTCCTCTTTTTTTACAGTGAGGAATATGAGGCATAGTGATGCAGTGTTTAAAACACTTGGCCGTTAACCAGATGAAAACTACCACGAAAGCAAAAAGCAATCAGCTCCTGCTGAGCGTGCCAGACTCGGTGGAGACCCCGTGTGTGTCGGAGGGGAACTGTGCTCCAGCGGTCTGCAGAGGCTGAATTTATAGGAGCAGGACACCTTTCTTCCAAGCAGCTCTGGGTTGACTCACATCTTCAACTTTCCAATTAGCAGCTAAGTAGAAAAGCTGCTTCACAATGTGGCTCCATTTATTTATTACTGTGACCGACAAACCAAGCAAGCTGTCAAGACAAGTCTGACTCAGAGTGGCCCTAGAGAGCGTCTAAGAACAGACTATAGAAGCAAATTTCTGATCTTTATCTTATAGAGTAGCTGGTGGATTTGAACAACCGAACTTTTGGTTAGCAGCCAGGTACTTTAATCACTGCATCATCAAAGTTACATAGTATTCTAAACATACAAAAACCCAGGAAACTCTCTTGTTGGCCCATCACAGCCGCCTCCTAGCTGATTCTCCCCATATTTTCAATAGTTCAGTAAATTGCACAAGTGCAGATGGCCCTTCTTCCTTCTGAGGAGCTCTTGGTGGATTTGAACCACCGGAGAGGCAGCACCTTCTGATCAGCAGCCCATCTCCCTCTGGCCTGTGCCATCAGAGGTATGCTATATACTTGGCAGTATTGTTTGCCTTTGGATCGGAACTGACTCCTAACTGATCCTCCTGAGGGTTTTCAAAGGCAGGAAATTGCACGGTGGATATTGCCCAGGCTTCTCCCATGGAGCAGCTGGTGGAGCTGAACTGCAGAAACTGAACTTTTGAGATTGCAGCACAGCTTCTTACCATCAGGCCACCCAAGGGCCCTGTACTATGTGGGAAAATATATGTAAGGGCCACCAGATGGAGACGAAGATACATGTAGATGACTGGAAAATTACCTTCTATTGCCCATTTTTGCAAGAAATACTCCCTAAACTTAGCCAGTCTAGCATGCCTGACTTTGCTGGCATCACATGCGTGACTGGGGGAATGAAACTGTAGGCCCCAAGAACAGATCTAAGGGCATAGAATTATCTTGTACATCTGTGTCTCCAACTTAACTCCATTGTTTTAACCGAGTGCCCAGTTCAGGGTCCAAAATGTTCTTATATTTCATTGTACAAACTATGATAGTGGGTACAGTTTTAAATTGTATTCTAGAATCTACTTCTCAAAAAAAGTTCATCACGAAGTTCAGGGCAATCATAAAAGTAGACATCCCAGGGAGCTCTGGTGGCCTAGTGGCAAGAAGCTGCACTGCAATCCCAGAGGTACGTGGTTCAAATCCACCAGATGCTCTGCTGGAGAAGGAGGGACAATCTCCTGTACCAGTCAGATCTGATTTGATGATGCACACACAAAAAATAATAAAATTGTTTTTTAAAAAAGTAGACATCCTCTCCCTAAGTGGAGAATGATAGACATTCTCTCTGTTTACCACACCCAGGCACACAGACATGCATGTCTTACATCAATCTACATGCATACGTGTCTGTCGTACACATCACATGTCTGTCATACACACGTCACATGTCGTCCTACACACATCACATGACTTGAATCCAGTAAAGCAAATTAATCACGGCCATCGAGTGGGTGCCTGAGACTGTATCTCTACAGGAAGATGCTGCCCTTCTTTCTGGGTTTGAACTACTGACCTTCTGATTATCACCAAACACTATACATTAAGCCATCACAACTCCTTTTAAGGACTATGCTGTTTTAAATACTTCTTAGACTTTGTGGTTGTTGTTATTCAGTGCCACTGAGTCAAGCACAACTCACAGCAACCCATGAACAACAGATCTAAACGCTGTCCCATCCTGTGCCTTCCTCATCATCTCTGACACACTCAAGCCCATTGCTGCAGTCACTGTGTCAGTCCATTTCATCGAGGGTCTTCCTATCTTTTGCTGACCCTCCACCTTTCCAAGCATGATGTCCCTTTGCAGGGAATAACCTCTCCTAGAAACATGCCCAGAATATGTGAGATGAAGCTTCTCCCTCTTCTCCTCCAAGGAGCACTCTGTTGTACTTTCTCCAGAACATGTTTGTTCTGTGGCGGTCCAAAAGAACAAGCCCCTTGGATTTTACACAGGATTAATTCAGTGGGACAGTACAGTGTTTACAATAACAGTGGTTCTGTGAACGTTGTTGTTGTTAAGTGCCAGAGAATTGGTTCCTACTCTGACTGACCCCATGTACAACAGGGAAAAAAACCTACCCAATCCTGTGCTATCAGCTCAAGTCCATCATTAAAATTGCTATGTGAGTCCATCTCTTTGTTTTTCCTCTCCTTTACAGACCCTCTGCTCTTTAGAGGATAATGTCTTTCCCTAGAGACAGGCTACTCCTCATTGTGGTGGTGTTGTTGTTATTGTTATGCACTGTCAGGTTGCCTGCGACTCATAATGACCCTATATGTACAAGAGCCCTAAACCCTGCTCTATCCTGTGCCAACTTCACTGTCTCCAACACACCTACTCTTATTATGCCAACCACTGAATCGATGCATCTCATCAAGGGTCTTCCTCTCCTGTGCTGTACCTCCATACTCCCAAACATGATGTCCCTCTCCAAGGACTGGTTCCTCCTTGCAACATGTCCAAAGTATGTCAGATAAAGCTTCATAATCTTTATTTTCAAGGAGCACCCAGTTTTACCCTCTCCAGGATGAACCTCTTTGTTCTCCTAGCAGCCCAAGGTATATTCAATACTCTTCTCCAGCACCACCTCACAAAGGCATCAGTTCTTCTATCATCCCTAGTCACTGTCCAACTTTCTGATGCGTAGCACGTAATTGCAAAGACTATGGCCGGCTCCTCATAGTGTGCTCTAAATATGTAAGATGAGATCTCACCATCCTTCTCTCTAAGGTGCATTCTGGCTGCACTTCTTCCTAAACCTAGTTGTTTGTTCTTCTGGCCCAGAAGGGACCAGGATGCCCCTCCCACCAGGGAACTTCCCCTCGTCAGCTTGCCCACAGCAGAAGCGAGTGATACCCATGACACAGGTAGTGAACTAAGACTAAATTCGGTTTTATTCTAACTTCTCTAGGCAAAAATGCAGATAGCATGTCCAAGTATATATGTAGCCCATGGTTTGAAAATATTAAGCCAAAGACAATGCAAGTCTTTGAGAATAGAGGCTTTCTCTCTTCACCTGGCGTGAGTGGGGTGTGCAGGATGACCACTTATACCTGAAAGGTGTCACTTAAAACTGCAGCCAGATGGAGAATGAAATAGGACTGGCTGCAGTGTCTCTAGAAAAGCAGGATAGACATTATTAACCCAAGTTAAAAGTTATACATTATAAATGTTTCATTTATGGTTATCATATTTGATTGATAGGCTGATTATTTCAGACTTGATTCTTATTAATGCTGTCCTCTTCTTTTTCTTTTTTACCCCCTTGGGACTTGCATAATCCTGTAGTGTTAACATAAAGCTTCTGGTCCCCAGTAGAGGAAGGGGGTGGAGGGTGTCCCAATCTCACTTCTGACACCAAATGTCTAAGGAATGGAAAATGGGACATGGAGGCACAGGCGGCCCCACGGTGCCTCAAGAGCCACAACAGCAACAAGAGGTTCATTTAATCATTGCTGAACCACAGGCTGTAATCACAACTGTCATACCAAGAAGGGAGTTTACTAGGAAAATAAGTGGGAGAGGGAGAGAGGCAAAGAATATCACCCAGCGCAAATTCCAGGTTTAGTCTAACAGGCCCAAGGCACAATTTCCCAACTAGTTAAAGTCCTGGTTCAGTTCAGTAGCACAAATCCAAATCATCCCGCAAGGTTTGCCTCAGAATAATTATAAGTCAGCTTCTCCTTAATTATCCAGCAAGAACAGCAAAACCTGTAATTGTGTCTTTTATCTCAGGGCTCCTCTGATTACACCTTACCACAGTTTCTCCACAGCAATGCCGCAGTCTCTCCATCACCATCACCAGGGGTTTGCTCTCAACAGGGGGTTGCTCCAGTTCCCCTCAAGTCTTGCTTGTCACAAGCCTAGCTGACACAAATCTTGCTACTCAGTGTGGGAAGTATTCTGTCTCTTCTTTGAGTCCCACAGCTGTTGATAATTTCCAAGACTATGTGTCTGCAGTTAAGGTAGCTGGAGACAAGAGAGGGCTTAAGACAATGGCTAAAAAATCAGCTTTTAAGCTAACACCACACTTCCTCACAGCCAGCCTGAGGAATATCACTAGGAATAGGAAAGTTATTGGAATAAGGCTTCCCTAAATTTATTTGCTCCCTGTGTTTATATCTTCAGACTCAATGCCAGTTGTATGAAATATAATCATATGAATTCATTAGACTTTCCTAGAAAAGTCTAGAAATATCCAACCAGCCATGACACCATGTATTCGCTTGCATTACAAAGTTCTGGGCAGAAGTTAGGTCAATAAGTAGTTCAGCTGATAATTCTTTACTACACATTTCGGTTTACACCCCTTTCTCCCATTCTCAACTATTCTGACTCCTTGGATTTCTAATTTGTGTGAGCTCTTCATTTCCCATAGTCTACCTTACATTGGTTTTGGTTTTGCCTCATAAAGCCTTAAATGCCTTTTTCTCTCTTGTTGTGTGCCATCCTATTGGAACAAACTCCTACTTGAGGTTTTCAGAGGCAGTGAACTGCACAGGAGGAGATTACCCATCTTTCTTCTGCGGAGCAGCTGGTGGATTCAAACCACATGCCTTCGGGATGACTGTGCAGCTCCTTACTCAGCTACCAGAACTTGCTTCTTGTTATTATGTTCTGACTGTCAAGTGGAACCAACCCATAGCTGACCCTCCAGTGGATTTTTAGAGGCTGTAAATATGATGGGAGGAGACTGCCCATTTTTCCTCCGCAGAGCAGCTGGTGGATTCAAACTGTGTACCTTTGGCTTGGCAGCACAATTCCTTCAATAAGCCATCAGAGCTCCCTTAGCTATGTAGGTATAGATATTAGTCCTGGTTGCCTAATGGGTAAGGAGCTATACTTCAAAAGCAGACAGCTCAAATCTACCAGCTTCTCCACAGAGTAAAGATGAGCAAGTCTCCTCTTGTGTGATTTACAGCCTCTGAAAACTTGCTGTAGGATCAGCTATGAGTAGATTCCAACAATGAGAGAGATATTTATGTTTATAGATGTTGTTGTTTTTGTTAATTTCCATCAAATCATAGGCGACTCATAGCAACCCTATGAACAAAAGACCTGAACGCTTGTATAACTTTCATTATTTCTCCACGTTCATAGCATTTCTGGAGGGAAGCTGTTTCGGAAGTAGATGCCACTTCTGCTTCCAATCTTGTTTTAATCAGGACGCTCCACCAAACGCTGTGCACCGTGGGTGACCATTATCACTTTTGACACATCTGTGTCACAGTGTTCAGAATCACAGCAACCACAAGTTACCTCTGTACAGCAAATGGACAGACCAGTGCTCTGCCACTTAGAAGAATGTTTGACCAAAAACAATTAAAACCAGGCCTGAGGGCCGCAGATTAAAATCACCCACCTTTGGCTTGGTGGTATCACTTTCTGTCCGCTAGGCCAACTGAGCTCTCTCATTGTTGCTGTTGTTGTCAATAGTAGAGATTTTATTAACATTATAAAATATTTAAAGAATTCTTTATAAAATATGTATGTATGTCTAATCTATGTTATTAATTTAGTTACTAATTAAATTATTGTCTTTTATTGTCATAGCTGGATCAGACTATGTAGGAATCAGTCATAATTTGGACTTTGCACCAGGAGTCAACATGCAGACCGTTCGTGTGATCATTCTGGATGACTTGGGACAGCCAGTGCTGGAGGGGGTCGAGAAATTCGAACTGGTGCTGAGGATGCCTATGAACGCTGCCCTCGGGGAGCCTAGCAGAGTCACCGTGTCCATCCATGACTCTGTCTCCGACTGTAAGTGTCTGTTAACTCGACAGTGACAAGGACAAGGCCAAGCAATGGTCTATGTAAACGCAGAGTAAATACAGTCAGGGTTTGTTTGCCTCTCTCCCCCATTCATTTTAGTAGACTTAGACAATCTGAGAAGAAAATTTTCTGTTTCCTTCTTAAGTTGGAAAAGAGAGAGAGAGGGAGGAGATTGTCATTGGATAATTTAGCCTGTCCATATATTAGTCGTGTTTTTTTTCCTTCTTCACTTTTTCTTAAGTCACCCACCACAGGTGGCTGATTCCACATGGAGATTTCCAGCCCCTTGAATGCAAATGGCATTCTTCCACTGACCATCAGGAAGCCTTTCTCTTGTCTATGTGAACAGAGATACACCTGGACTTTCTCTAATGTGATATAGAACTGGATGGATGGATGGATGGATGGATGGATGGATGGATGGATGGATGGATGTGACCTGATGTCGTTTTGAGTCCAGAAGCTGCTGGACACCTGCAGGGCCATCATGTCACCACTGGGGGTTCTGCATGCCTCTCACTCCCAGCAGTTCTGGGAAACCTGATGGGTGGGCTCCATGAGTTCGCATCAAATTTCCAGCACTGAGAATATGAAATATAAATAAGGAACCCTGGTGGTGTGATGGTGTAGGGTTACGTGTTGGGCTGTTCCCTGAAAGTTTAACAGTTCAGATTCACCAGCTGCTCCACAGGAGAAACATGTGGCATTCTGCCTCATAAAGATTAGCAGCCTTTGGTTCACACCTGTTCTAGGGACACAGAGCTGGAGAAAATATCCATGGATTCACCAAAATCCCACTGCCATTGCATCACTTCTAACACCTAGCATCACAGCAACCCTATAGCAGACAGTAGAACTTAAACAAGCAGAAGGGATGTAAACTCTTTGTCTTCAGTGGATATTATTAGGTAATATCCTGCTCTGTCCTATCAGATCCATTTCCTTGAGTGTGTGTTCTTTTTAAGATTCTTGGTTTTATCCACATGTTGGCATTCACTACCTGTCCACACTCAGAGAGAGAGAGAGAGAGCGCATATATATGAAAAGCAAGTGCCGTTGACTTATGTAACCCATTGTGTGCCAGAGTAGAGGTGTGGTCTGCAGGATGTTCATGCTTGGTTGTTAAGATGTAAATCTCCAAGTTGTTTTCTTTTGAGGTGCCGCGGGGTAAATTTGAACCTTCAACCTTTTGGTTAACTGCTAAGTACATTAATTATTTGCACCACACAGGGAATCCACAAAATCAAACCACAAAAACCCTCAAACCTTTGAATCAGAACTGACTCATAGCTGACCCTCCAGAGGGTTTCCAAAGCTATACGTTGCACAGGAGAAGTTTCCCCAATTTTCTCTATCAGAGCTTCTGGTGGGCTCACAACTCCTGACTGCCACCAGACGTCCCTTTCACCAAAACAGGGAAGGTAGAACTGTAGAGCTGAGGAAATAAGACTCCTAAAATCTAGTGATTCTTTTCTAAATGTTGAAACAATGACCAGTGACCCAGAGAAAACAGTGACCCTTGTGTCATGTTACAGCTGCTCCGTTATTCTTTCCACAATATCACACACGTTCTGAAATATCATTTTTCTCAAGGAAACCTGTGTTCACTTGTTTTGGCAGTGCCCAGGATGCAGTTCAAGGAGCGAGTCTATACTGGCAGTGAAAATGATGGGCGAATTGTCGCTCTGATCCACAGGACAGGTGATGTCCAGTTCCAGTCCTCCGTGAGGTGCTACACGCGCCAGGGGTCAGCCCAAGTCATGATGGACTTTGAGGAGCGCCCCAACACTGACTCCTCCGTCATCACCTTCCAACCTGGTGGGTTTCAAGTGGTGAAACTTTGGGGGTAACACAAAGCTCCCTGACATAGTTTTTTTGTGCAATAAATAACAATGAGGTGAGATAGAGTGTAGAAGATGGGGATGGGCTTTATAGCAGCTTGTTGACCAGTTTCCTGTGTGTGAACATACTATCTACTGAAAAGCCAATGAATAGGCAGATGCCACCAAGCCAATGCTGACTCATGGAGACCTGTGGACAGTGTAGGGAAGCACCACTCAGTCCTGGATCCTCCTGTCTTCATGATGGCCAGCATGATGTGGTATAAAGCTGTACCAGTCCCTCTCAGCAAGGATCCCCCTCCTCAAGCCATTGATTGCCGCTACTGATCTGCCCAAAGTTAATGAAGTGAATAATGTAGTGTTGTTGTCGTAAGGTTGCCACTGACTAATTTTCAGGAGCAGATCACCCAGCCTTTCTTCCTACTCAATCTCTATGTGGAAGTTCCACTGAAACTTGTCCACTGAGAGTCACCCTGCTGGCATCTAAAATGCTAAGCATTGCTCACACTAGCCCAGGAGTAGAGTTGGCATCACAGGATGACACTCTAGCAAAACATTTCATTTCTGAATTTTTTTTTTCAGTTTTTATTAAACATTGTAAAATAGTGGCTCCACTGACTGTTAACTCGTTACACCATGCTGAACTTTTGTTGTTGTTGTTGTTGTTGTTAGGTGCCGTCGAGTCGTAGATGACTCATAGAGACCCTAGGAATGAAAGGCCTGAGCACTGTTCATACATAGAGTTTCCAGAGGCAAGTGATTTCGGAAGTGGATGCCACTCCTGCTTCCAAGCTTGTTTTACTCTGGGAGCTCCACCAAACTCTGTCCACTATGGGTAACCATTATCACATTTGACACATCAGTGTCACAGTGTTTAGCATTACAGCAACCATGAGTTACCTCTATACAGCAATGCACAGACCAGTGTCATACCACCTAGAAGAATGTTTGACAGGAAAAACAATTTAAAGCAGGCCTGAGGGCTGCAGATTAAAATCTCCCACGTTGGGCTTGGTAGCATAACTTTCTGTCCACTAGGCCAATGTAGCCCTCTCTATGCTGAACTAGTTCTCGGTTTTTCAAGTAGAGATCATAATCCTTCAGCTGTGAGGTGACTTATACACCAGGCAAAGATGTGTGCCAAAAGCTCTGTTGTCATTAAAACTATCACAGAATCAAAGTCAAGTCTGTGTCTTCTTATTAAGCTTATTGGGATAGAGGTTCATTAACAAGAGCAAGATAACACACAGAGTCAGAATTATACTGATAATTAGCTGATTAGCAAGAACATGTATCCTTGGAGATAGAGACTGACATACAGAAAGAGACTTCAGTCAAAATGAAGATACAAATCTATATACCCTTAGGTATCTCCAGAGTCACCATTCTCGATAGCCGCAGATGTGTATTTGTGGATGATGGGATGTCACTGTTTTCTCCATGATCGTCCAGGTGAGACCGAAAAGCCTTGTGTCCTTGAGCTGATGGACGATGCCTTCTACGAGGAGGCCGAGGAGCTCCGCCTGGTCCTTGGCACCCCACGAAGCAACTCTCCCTTCGGAGCTGCGATTGGGGAACAGAATGAAACTCTGATTAGGATTCAAGACGATGCTGACAGTAAGAAGTCATTCCTTATGCTTAACTCAGATGGGACCTGAAATCCATCTGGGTGTTCATGTTTAAAGGGGCTTAGGAAACAAACACCTCTGTCTATGAGACTTTAAAGCAATTGAGGAAAAGGGAAAATAAATGGGAAGTAATGTATCAGAATGAGAGCAAAGAGCATTTACATTGAAGGATATGACTTACATCCAGGACTGAATCTCAAACATTTTTATATCTCCTTCTCTCCCCACCCCCAAAGTCACAAGATTTCCTCCTATCCCTCCACCCTATGTTAGTGGTCCGCTCTTGGAAAATGTGGGCATGTGGGGCAGCCCTCTGGAGGCTGGTCATTTCCCACAGAAGGACTACTCATGCTTGGTTTTCTCTAACATACTCACCTTCAAGAGTAATGAGTGAGCATTGAAACAGATGAGGGAGAAAACTGTTTAAAAGGGATATGTGATTAGGTATTATTTGCATGACAAAAGTCCAGAATAAGAGCTGCATAGAAAGGGGGGAGGGGGGAGATTGTATAACAATGAAAGAATTTTTTTTTTCTTTTCAAAGAGTAAAGCAAACTGGGTGGGAAGAGGGCAGGGAAGAAAATGTGCAACAATGAATGAATGGAAATCCAAGTTCTTTATAATCTTTCATTAAAATCTCAGTTTTAAAAGAAGAGTAGTGAGTGAGGAAGCAGAAAAAACCAACAGGGAAATACTAATACAGCTTCTTCTGCACGGCAGGAAATATTAGACATGGGGGCAGAGGGAACAGGAAGCATCCTTCTGAATGAGAATTTCATGTGTCCTTGTTTTCTACAATTTTAGAAACTGTTATTAAATTTGGAGAAACCAAATTTAGTGTCCGTGAGCCCCAGGAACCAGGACAATCCGTGGTTATAAAAATTCCAGTGGTTCGCCAAGGAGACACCTCGAAGGTCTCCGTCGTGAGAGTCCACACCAAGGACGGCTCAGCTACCTCTGGAGAAGACTATCACCCTGTGTCGGAAGGTATGGGGCCCACAGTCTGTGTCCAGGTGGATCATACCAACTCTGTGTGTTAGTTCTCTTGCCCCTTGAGAAAAAGGACAGTGTCATACTAAAATAAATGAGGGCATACCCCTTTAATCTCCATCAGAAAAACAAATGGCTTTCTCAGATTTCCATTTTTTAAGACTTGGGGAAATTTTAAGTTAACAGATATGATGAAATCTCCTTCTGTGTGATTTACAGTCAGTGGAAGGTCAGTTCTGACTCCTTAGCAATGAATTTTTAATGTGTACTACAACATAGCTTTCTAGATGCTTCTTTGTTTTGAGAATAATTTTCAGCAAGTTTTATCTTTTTTTTAATTTTTTTAAAAATTTTTTTTTTTTTTTTTATTTTTGTGTGAGTGTACCGTCAAATCAGATCTGACTGGTACAGGAGGAGATTGTCCCTCCTTCCCCAGCAGAGCATCTGGTGGATTTGAACCGTGCGCCTCTGGGATTGTAGTTGCAGCTCCTTGCCACTAGGCCACCAGAGCTCCCCTTTATCTTTTTTATAGTAGTCAGATACTACATTCAAGTTTTGATAAAAATTTCCGATAAGTGGCAGCCAGGATGGGCATTTTAGTGTTAGACACCAACAGTCTGAAATTTCCCTTTTGGGCCAAGTCAGTTCCAACTCATCAGGTTTTAAGGTTGTACATCTTTTTTTTTTTTTTAATAATTTTCTTTTATACTGGTTTGCTTACAAAGTTTGTATACATTGTTTTTCACACCAGATCTTGCCCATTTCCTTCACCCACTCCTCCCTCTACCTATCAAGTTGTGCAACTTTATGACTACACCCCTGCCCATCTTCACCCCTCTGCTTCACCCCCACTTTGGATCCTCCTACACCTTCTACAATCATTGTCTTACACATTATTTGTCCTTATGGGACTGAGTTAGTTCACTTAGCATAATGCTCTCCAGTTCCTCTCAAGATGTATAGTGATTTTCGAAATCATTGCTCCTGAGTGCTGTGTAGTATTCCATCATGTGAATGTACCACAATTTCTCAATCCATTTGATTGTGGTTGGACATTTGGGCTGTTTCCATGTTCTTGTGATAGTGAATAATGCTACTATGAACATTGGTGTACTAATCTCCATTTGTGTCTCAGTTCTAATTTTCTCAGGCCATGGTATTGCAAGATGGGTCTTTTCCCAGACAGTAGGTTTTCTTTTCACTCTGCTGGAAAATGTTTTTGATGTGACAGGGGTTTAGTCTTTAGATGAGCCCATTCTTCAATGTTACCCTCTCCTGGTTGTATATTTCTGGCTGTATTGAAAGGAGAGGAATGCTAATCTTTGTCCTGTGGAGTAACTAGTGGATTTGAACCACCAGCCTTTTTGTCAGCAGTCCAGAACACCATAGATCATGAGTTTTCTAGGGCTTGTGTTGTTGACGTCACCTCCAGCTTTTGGCACAGTGGTTGAAGAAACTCTACCAACAAGTGTGTTATGAGAAGAGAATCATTTAAATAAAATTAAAATATTTTTCATTTCCTAGACATTTCACTTTTAAACAACAGGTGCTATAAGAATGTGAAAGCTTGCAGGACTTGGGTAAGAGAATGGAATGTAGTAGCCCATTCCAGCCAGATTTTGTTGCCGTTTCTGGGGTCCTTTTTGGTTGTGTGTTACTGTTTCTTGTCCCCCTACAAAAGCAGGTGGTCCTTGAACCTTAGACTAAGGGTAAGGGTGGAACCCAGCTCGAGGGCATGGATTTAAAATCCTTGATGAGGGAATGGGTCTGCGGGCTAGCCAGGGGCTCTGGGGACTTGGAAATATCCCTCCACTCTGGAAGTCAGCTGGCTGGCTGGCGTCATCTCAATGGCAGTTTCATCTGGATGGTGGTCAGGCAAGGGAAGTTTCTGGGTCCTTTTTTGTTGCAAGTTACTGTTCCTTGTCCTCCTTCAAAAGCAGGTGGTCCTTGAACCTTAGACTAAGGATAAGGGTAGAGTCCGGCTTAAGGGGGTAGATTTAAAATCCTATAGGGCCCTCCAGTCCAAATGTATTAATTTTAATAGAATATTCTTTAAAAGACACAGCAATATCATTTGTCTATTTGCTGTGCTGAACAACTTGGAGTTGCTGTAATGCTACACACTGTTCCACAGTCATGTTAAATACCATAATGGTTACCCATTATGTGCAATGGTTGGATGAGCTTCCAGACTGATTCATGTTGGGAAGCAGGAGTGGCATCCACTTCCTAAACTAGATGCCTCTGGAAACTCTACAAACTCTCTTATAAATGTACAGAAAATATGTTAACCATAGAAAAAACATTCAGGTCTTTTGTGTAAAATTTACTTTGAGTCATATTTGACTTGATAACACTTAACCAGTGCTAAATGAGACTAGTTATATTATATCTCAGTGGTGGTTTCATCTATCAACATAACTAGTTCTGTTATATCTGGAGGAACACTGTTCCACTTCGCACATCACTCTTTGTCAATGTGCTATATGAGGTAACCTGGGATTGCTGTGATGCTGAACCTTGTGCCATGGGGATATCAAATACCAGAATGGTTTCCCATGGTGGATAGTGTTTGGTGTTTGCCAGTTGTAAAACAGGTTCCTAAACCGCACTCCTCTGGAAACGCTATGAACTTAGAGAAACAAAGATAGCTGTGCAAAGGCATTAGGTCTTTTATTCATAGAGTCACTATGAGTCTATCTCGACTTGACAGCAATCAATAACAACAACAGAAAGATACATAAAAATTCAAAGTCCCGCATCTTTGACTAGATTACTTAGATTTTCATGTGATAGAAATTGTATTTTAACCTAGTGGTGGTGGTGGTGTTGTGTGTCGTGAGTTGTACATGACTCATAGTGACCCTACGAACAAAAGACCCGAACACTTGTATAACTTTAGTCATTTCTCCATGTTCATAGAGTTTTCAGAGGCAAGCCATTTCGGAAGTGGATGCCACTCCTGCCTAGTAGCAAGCCAAAAATAAGCAAGTTGCTTACATCCTCTAGTCTGGAGAAAGGGAACTCAGGTGGCTCAGTGGTAAGGAGCTGCACTGCAATCCTGAAGACCTGCAGTTCAAATCCTTTACCTGCTCTGCAGGAGAAGAATGGACAATCTCCTCTCATGGGATTAACTACCTCTGGAAACCCATTGGAGGGTCAGTTATGGGTCAGTTCTGACTCTACGGTACACACCACCAACAACAGTCTATACAGAGGGAGCCCTGGTGGCTGAGTGGCAAGGAACTGTGCTTCCAACCCAAAGGCAAGGAGCTCAAATTCACCAGGTGCGCTGTGGGAGAAAGACAGCCCATCTCCTGGCTTGCGGTTTACTGCCTCTGACTCTGAAAACTCACCAGAGGATCAGCTATGACTCAGTTCTGACTCACTGGCCCACAACAGATCTATAGACAGCTGCAGTGGGAGCTGATAGACCACACCTCTCAGGCAGCAGTTAGAACCCACCAGAGAAAGGTGGGCTGCCTGATCCCAGGTGATTAACAGCCTTGGACACCTGATGGAGCTTAGCTATGAGTCAATTCTGACTGACTCCATGTCATTGAATGTGAGTATTTGAGTTTGAGGAGCAGAGGAATTCTAAGCTCTCAGCTGTTGTTGTTGTTGTCGTTATTGATTGCCGTGGAGTCAAAGTTGGCTCATAGTGACTCTATGGACAGAAGACCTAATGACTTTCCATAGCTATCGTTGTTTCTCCAAGTTCATAGAGTTTCCAGAAGCATGTGGTTTAGGAAGTGGATGTCACTCCTGCTTCCCAACAAGCTCTCTCAGGGTTTCAGAAATCTGGTAATTACCAGCTGCAGAGAGCATGCTAAAGTCCATGTACATCAGAGAGCATGTATTTATTTTAAAAGTAGGTCTGGCTCTCTAACTCAATTTTTCTTGGGGGGGGAAGTGCTTTTTTATAATTGATAATTAAAAATAGAAGAAAAAATAAAATTAACTGGGAATACATTTTTTTTTGCCAGATTTTAAAGGATTTATGGTTTAGATTGATAATTAAATTGCAAACTCATCAGAAAGTAGTAGCTATTATATTCTCTATACAGAACCATTATGAATTAGATGCATTTTATCCCCTCTCTTGAACCAACTTCTCAAAAAGCAGGGTGAAGCCTGCAAACTTTTTTTATCCAAGTTTAGAAGTATAGCCAGCTATTTACTGTAAATACAGTAAAATAAATTCTTTTTTATTGGAGTAATAAACTTTAAATAAATAATTTTAAATAAAAGAAGGATTTTTATAACCGGGTTTAATTTCCATTATAATGAATCAATTCTTTTCTACTGTGAAAAAGCATTGCTTACATTTATAGAACTTTTCCATATTTTCAAAAAAATAGTCTTTTAAAAATCTGATGGGATATTAGAAACTCTTTTTTAATCTATCTTAAATAAGGAAGCCCCAGTGGCATAGTGTGTACTGTATTTCACATTGTGGTTAACCGCCCCAAAATCTTGTACTATAGAAGAATGTAAGGAATTTTTGCCATTTAACTCTGTGATTTTACATTTGCAGAAATTGTGTTTAGAGAAGGAGATACCCAGCATATGGTTGAAATTGAAATAATCGCTGATGGAGTGAGAGAGATGAGAGAAGCCTTCACCGTTCACCTAAAACCTGATGAAAATATGATAGCTGAGACACAGGTAAGTACTAAAATATGCCAATAAATTCATGGCCAGCATTTTACCACAGACAATTCATGTAAAATAAACTGACAGGCCTTACAGCGATGAGATGCCCTTTACACCTTCTCAATTTTGTTCTGGCTAGGTCATGATAAAGAAATTCTTCTCTTCTTTGAAAATTCATGATTGCAATAGCTCAAAGACCATAGTCACTGCATTGCAATCCCAGAGGTGCCTGGTTCTAATCCACCAGATGCTCTGCTGGAGAAAGAGTGACAGTCTCCTCCTGTATCAGTAAGATCTAATTTGACAGTACACACACACACACACACAAAAAAATAATTAAAAAAAATTTTTTTTTAAAAAAGACCATAGCCACAGGGTAATATCCCACCTACATTTCCTATTTCAATTAGTAATCCAGTCAATTCAATTGTGATCCAAATACTTTTTCAGCCAATCTTTGTTGTAACTGTCCTGGGCTTAGCTGTCCTGCCTTGGTACCATAAGTTATGATTCAGGGATATGGTCCCACGATAGGGCGTCATATGGAACCAGTGACATGAACCCACACACAGGGACACTGGATGTGTTTTTCATTGGAATGAGGCACTGTGTTTGATGGGCATCCTTAGAGTTTTCCTGAACAATAAAAAGTACCCAAAGTATAATGTTTCAGCACTGATCATTCTCTCTTCCTTCCAGGTAACCAAAGCCATCGTGTACATAGAGGAGATGAACAGCATGGCGGACGTCACCTTTCCTTCTGTCCCACAAATCGTGTCCTTACTTCTGTATGATGACACCTCCAGATCTAAAGACAGTGCTGGCCCCACATCCGGCTACCCTGTGGTCTGCGTCTCAGTGAGTACAAAATGAGCAAAAGTGAGGGAAATAGGGAAATCGTTTCATTTAAAATTATTAACAGGTCCAAATTCAGATCTGTTGTTGATAAGGTTGCTGTGAATCGCAGTTGAGTCAATGGTCATAACCACAGCATCACACCTCTAGAGAAATTGCTTACGTGTGCCCTCCATAGTGCAATGAATGGACCTATCAGGTCTCCACCCTAGTCCTCATAAAGCCCGACAAGCTATGAAAAAAAGGCACACAACTGGTGAAAAAAAAAATACAGATGAACATTCTTCTAAAAAATAAATAAAATAAACCACACTGCAATCTCAAAGGCCTGCAGTTCTAACCCCCCAGCTGCTGTGCGGGAGGAGGATGGGCAATCTCCTCCTGTAAATTATCTGCCTCTAAAAACCCGCTAGAGGGTCAGCTATGAGTCAGTTCTGACTCGACAGTACACAGTAACTACAGAGAATGAAGGCCACGAGAGCTCCCTTCAGGAATGAGAAGGGAATACAAGTTAGATAAGTGGATAAAGGGAAGGCAATATACAATACGGAGTAGATGAACAGTAATTCATGAAATTGACTCATTACAATGTCTAATGTTATGAAACAAGGCTTATGAAATTGAAAATTTAAAACCAATATAAGATAAAGGGTTGTAAAACTTTAGCAAATATAGGATTGTTTTATGAAGAAACAAAAATGGGAAGATATATGTTTATACTTTATACTTTAAAAATCAAAATACAACCTGAAGCAAAGCAGGCTTCCCCTTTTCTTCCTTTGTCCAAGAGACGTTTATCAAATGCTGTGTGTAAACAATCCCAAGGTCAAACCACTAAGACAAACATAAATCAGGGATGGGCTCTGATATTAAGAAACCTGAAAAATAAGGGGAAAAAATTATACAGAAGTCGGGCTTCTAGGAAGGAAATGTGATCGTTTTAGTGAGGCTTTATGAATCAGAGCTAGACCTGCAGCTTAGTGATGAACAAAGCTTTGTGTCAAGTGATATTCCAGCAACAGAAGAGAACACCAGAGAGCTCTGGTGGCCTAGAGCCAAAGGCACCCAGTTCAAATCCACCAGCTGCTCTGTAAGAGAAAGATGAGTAGTCTTCTTCTATGCTACTTATTGCCTGTGGAAATTCACTGGAGGGTCAGTGTGGGTCTGATTCAACCCAATGGTACATAATAACAAAGCCTGTTGTGTTGTGGTGGGTTTTTTTTAATCAGTAATGCAGAAGTAATAGTTTGATGCCAAATTACAGAGATCCTTAAATGTTGAATTATTAAAAGTCTTAAACTTCTTTTGTTGGGCAGAACGAAAGTATCAGTAGTTCTTACCCAGAAAAAATGTTGGCACAGTTAGAGAGTTATGTTAGAAGATTCACATGGCAATATTTTGTCAGTGAACTACAAGAAAAGGCCCTGAGTTAGACAGGAAGTTGGAAGGGACCATTATAAGAGTCACTGGCAAGAATAAGCAACCATGATCACTGACCCATTGGAATGGGGAGGGGAGTGGTGAGGTCAGAGAGAAAAGGAGGAGGCAACACCGGAATGGCTCAACAATTCTGAGCCGTCAAGAGGTGATAGTAGTAAAAATGGTACCCCTGTTTGTTAGGCTGAATCCATCCAATAAGCTGCTTGAAATGCAAGATTGGCTTTCATCAAAGATAAGGCATATGAAGGTAGACACTTAGAAGTTTCTCTGATACTTTGTGGAAATGAAAACAGAGTACAAGTGACCTCTAATAGAAGGAAGTGAAGGGGAATAATCCCCACATCACTGTGTGCTGTGATCCTGAGTCCTTTGTTCCCATAGGCTTGCAACCCCAAATATTCCGACTACGACAAGACAAGTTCTATCTGTGTGAGTGAGAACATCAACGACACGCTGACCCAGTACCGGTGGCTGACCAGCGCCCCCACGGGCCCTGATGGTGTGACCAGCCCCATGAGAGAAGTGGACTTCGACACCTTTGTGACATCATCCAAAATGATCACCTTGGACTCGATCTACTTCCAGCCTGGCTCCAGGGTGCAGTGCGCGGCTCGGGCCGTGAATGCCAACGGGGACGCGGGCCTGGAGCTCATGAGTCCCGTTGTCACCATTGGCACAGAGGATGGTAACGTATTGCTGTTTACGCATGAAGATGAAATAGTCAAAGCACTAGAAAATGACCGAGCATTATAAATGGATGTCCTCCAATTGCCCCATATATTTTGAAACTCTAAAAAAAATCTTATTTTTTAAGCTTATAATATGTCATGGAAAATATGCCCTATTTATCTGTGGAGATTTATCTCTTCTTTTTAGTGGCCAATAGTATTCTATTCTAATGTCACACTATAATATTTTTTCATGAGCATTTTATTGATGTCTACTTAAAATTATTTCTGGTATTTTGCTTTATTAACAGTGCTGCAACAAATGCATGTCTTTGAATATACTCCTTTGTGCAGATGTGTGATAAAGGGTTAACACTGTAGAAGAATTGCTAAATTGATGGAAATGTGTGTTTAAAATTGAAATATACATTGAAAAGTTGTCCTTCAAAAAAAAATGTTCTTTTGTAGAATTAAGTCCCATGGAGTAAATGCAACACCTAGGTTAGGGTTGGAATCTTCTCAGAAGTCGACTGCCAGGCCTTTCCTGTGAGCTCCTTCTAGGTGTCTGTAGTGATCACAGGGTGGTCCTCAGCCTCGTGTATGGGAGACCCCTTCTCCTCAATAGTCTTGATTAACAGAACTGATGGCACATAAACAATAATAGTGCCTGTTTGAAAACTATTGTGTAAGTGCTTCCTGTCGTTTTACCGTAAGCGTGCTCATTTCTGTTAAGGTCTGTGCCAGCCCCGCGTGCCAGGGACAGTGGGGGCAGAGCCGTTCTCCGCTAAGCTGCGTTACACGGGCCCTGAGGACCTGCACTACACGAACCTCATCAAGCTCACCGTCACGATGCCGCACATAGATGGTAGGTGAGCTAGGTAAGCGGTCCAGGGCGCGTCTGGACTCCCCATCGCCTTGTGCTCCATAGTCTAAATAACCTGTTGTTATTGTCAGGTGGGTTCCGGCTCTCAGTGAGCCTGTATAGAGCAAGATGAAACAGCCCTGCTCACCATCTGCTGTGCTTCAACTCTTTGTCAAAGCCACTGGTCAGTCCATCTCATTGAGGGTCTTCCTCTCCTTTGCTGACCGTCTGTCTTTCCCAGCATGATGTCCTTTTCTGAGGACTGGCCCTCCTGATAACATGGCCTAAAGTACATGGAATGAAATGTCACCAGCCTTGCCTCTGGGGAGCACCTTGGTTGCACTTCTATCAAAACCGATTTTTTGTTCTTTTGACAGTCCATGAGATATTCTGTTCTCTTTGCCAACGCTGTAAGACAAAGGCATCAATTATCCACTGCTCTTTCTTATTCTGTGCCGAGCTGTCACTTACACTCAGTAATCGAGCGTGATAAATGTTCATTTTTTTTCAATGGGTTCTTCACGTCCTCCTCCTCCCTCTCCACTCTGACATTGTAAAATAATAAAGAGAGTTGCAGTCAAGTTACCTTTGATTCATGGTGACCCTTTGTGTGTCAGAGTGGACCTGTGCTCCCTAAGGCTTTCGGTGACCGACTTCTTGGAAGTAGTTTGTCAAGTCTTTCTTCAGCAGCACCCTTGGGTGGGCTTAAAGTGCAAACCTTTTAGCTCACGGGAAATTAAGCTTTCTATACAGTCAGAGAGCTACTCTGGTGGTGTAGACCATTATGTATTGGGCTGCAAACCTAAAGGTTACCAGTTCAAATCCACCAGCTTTTCCAAGGGAGAAAGTTGGGCAGGTTCCTCCTGTAAAAATGTGTTGCCTCAGAAGGTCTGAGGATGATACCTAAAAGTCAAAGTTGGCTCAGCAGCAGTGGGTAAGTATAAAATGAAATAAACATATTAGTTACCCAGACACTATGAATCGTAACTTGGACTAAAATACTAACTTCTATAAAGGAGCAGCACTAATGTGTCTTTAAAGCTCGTGGTCTTAGACTTTCGGTAAAACATTTTGGTATCTGAAATCTTACCATCAATGTATATTTGCTCTTTGGTAAGTTCTGGAGGATATTTTGGTACAGTTTTACAAGTCTAAGTACTATTAGAGTTAATATTTAATACAATCATTAGGACACGTCCTGGGTTTGCAAGCTGTCATCATGTTCTGTGTTCATGTTGCTCTGACAAGGAAGCTGCCCAGAGGACCTGAGTCAGTAAATGTACCTACACGCTATGAGCATTTCCCCATGTGCAGAAAACATCTTCAAGTTCTCTGCCATTCAGATCACATTATACTTGAATTGGCAATGTCAAGGCTAATGTTTAGTGTATGATATTTTATGTGGTGGAGGGAGAGGAAGGATTACCATACAAGGAATTGTCTTCTGAGAGGTGAAGAATTTGTAAAGCATCCCAAACAATAGTAAGAGTGGCTCTCATACCCTGTAGGCATGCTGCCGGTCATCTCCACTCGGGAGCTCTCCAACTTCGAGCTGACCCTCAGTCCAGATGGCACAAGAGTTGGGAACCACAAGTGTTCCAACCTCCTGGATTATACGGAAGTGAAGACTCGCCATGGCTTCTTGACTGATGCCACAAGGAATCCAGAAGTCCTGGGAGAGACGTATCCTTATCAGTACAGCCCAACTCTCCGTGGTTCCAGCACCCTCCGCTTCTACCGAAACCTGAACCTCGAGGCCTGTTTGTGGGAGTTTGTCAGCTACTATGACATGTCTGAACTCCTCACTGACTGTGGAGGGACCATCGGAACGGACGGGCAGGTAAGAGCCTCTTCCTCTGAGCTTGGCTCTCCTCTATCTCAGTTCATTTTGTTCTCTTCCATAGATTTGAACGAAACTAGATTTACTATTTTGGTGATCTCTTATTGTTGTTGTGTACCATGGAATCCAAACTGACTCATAACTGACCCTCCAGTGGATTTTCAAAGGCAGAAAATCACATAAGAGGAGATTACACATCCTTTTGCCTCAAAGCAGCTGGTGGATTTGAACCACATGCCTTTGGTAATGTAGGTTGCAAATTAATTGGACTCCAGTGAGATGATTCGGCATAGGCGGTGGGGAAGTGCTATCTATCCTTGAATTGAAAGGACATTGAATAGTTAACGGCTTTAACCTTCAAATCTGTATTAGAATCTATGGGTCTTGTCTAAATTATGGTCTGAGTTCACCCTAGAGAAGGTTTTTCTCTTATCTGCTGCATGTTTCTAACATTTTTATATCTGACCTAGACTGGTCCCTAACTAAAAACTAAGCACTTTCCCTATCTATGCTAAATTCTGTCCTATTTTATCTGCCTACATCACCAATGAAGCCAGATCATTTTGAATGCAGATCCTACTGTCTATTGTAAGAAGCCCTCAGGTCCAGTCAGCTAAAGTGACTATACACTGCTGGTTTTTGCTTTTTTTTCCTTTTTTTAAAGTTTTTTAATTAATTTTAATGAAAGTTTACAGAGACTTAGGATTTCTAGTCATTCATTGTTGCACTTTTCTCCCTACCTACTTCCTCCCTCCCAGTTCACTCCTTGCCTTGAAAAGAAAAAGAAAAGCTCTTTCATTGTTATATAATCCCTCCCCCCAAGTCCACTCCACTGTGCATCCTTCACTCTGGACGTCTGTAATGACAAGAATACCCATTCATATATTCCTTTCAAACAGTTCTCTCTCTCATCGGTTTCAATATGCATGATTCCTCCCTTCCTTTTCTGTCTTCCTTCAACCCTGATGTCAGTCTCGTTTTACAACAGTTGCCCTATGCAGTATTTGTCCTTTTGTGACTGAGATATTTCACTCAGCATAATGTCCTCCAGGGACATCCATTTTGCATAATATTGCATGGGTTCCTTATTTTTCAATGCTGCATAGTATTCTATTGTGTGAATATACCAGAGCTTCTCTATCCATTCATTTGTTGAAGGGCCCTTGGGTTGTTTCCAGCTCTTTGCTATTGCGAACAAAGCCGCAATAAACATAGGTGTGCATATATCTGCTTGGTGGCAGTTACGGTTTATTTAGGGTCAATTTCCAGAAGTGGAATTGCTGGGTCAAATGATATTTCTATTTACAACTTTTTGAGAAAGTGCCATACAGCCTTCCATAGTGGTTGTACCATTTTACACTCCCATCAACAGTGAATGAGGGTTCGAGTTTCTCCACAACCTCACCAGCATTTGCTGTTTGCTGGGCTTTGCTTTTATTTTTCTCCTTCTCTTTCCATTTTTAAAATTAAGACCTGTTTCCCCTTCTGTAATCACTGCTTGCTGTGTTTCTGCAGTTCAACAGCCAATAGGTCTAGACCATTATATGAAAATTGGCATCTATAAATTTCAGTTAGGTTTCTCCTGCTTGTAAAGGCTCATTGTTGCTATTGTTGTTTACCATCAAGTCAGAACCAACCCATAACTGACCCTCCAGAGGGTTTTCAGAGTCAGTAAGTCACAGAGGAAGAGATTGCCCATCTTTCTCCTGCAGAGCATCTGGTGGATTCAAACCACATACCTTTGAGTTGGCAGTGCAATTCCTTACCACTAAGCCACCACATTTCCCTCACAAAGGCTACATTACATGTTGTTGTCGATTGCCATAGAGTCGATCACAACTCATAGCAACCCTATGAACAAAAGGCCTGAAGCCTTTCTATAACTATTGACATCTATCAAAACTCATAGAGTTTCCAGAGGCATGTTGTTTAAGAAGTGGATGCCACTCCGGCTTACAATTATGTTACATAGAACTTAGAATAAGAGATGAGACAATATGGAATTATCACACCATCTGTAATGAACTAACTTGTTTTCCCCTCTAAATAAGTGAGTTGTTTGTTGTTGTTACATACTGTCCAGTCAAACTTACTCATAACTGACCCTCAGCAGGTTTTAAGAAGCAGTAAATTATGTGGGAGCAAATTGCTAATCTTTCTCCAGAAGAGCCATTGGTGGACTTTAACCACCAGCCATGGGATTGGCTGTAAAACGCCTTATCATTAAACTGTGGCTTATACCTGTTTCTGGGTTGTTAAAAAGAAATCTAATAGCATAACTTGGATGATCAGCATCATAAAGATGACCAAGTTCAGTGCAAACCATTGATGGTTCAGTTTCTTATTTTAAAAATCCTAAAAGCTTCAGTAGAAACAAAATCATAATATATTCTAACATGTCATTTATTTTTTTTTAAGGTGACACTCGGAAACAGCCATTTCCTTTTCCCTCCTGTCTTCCTTGAACTTAAATTATTCCTTCTCCCAACTTTAGATATTCTGTTTTACACACACTTATATAGAAAAAAATGGAAATTAAAGTAGAAGAAACCTAACTTTTTGGGATATTTCCCTAAGTTTTGATATCTAAGAAAGAAGGGGGGAAAGATATCAAATGGCAACACTTACAGAAACAATAATAGTAAAAAAATAACATTGTTGGAGGCACACCCCAATAACTTGAAATTTGCAGTAGGATGTCAAGAGATCTCAGGTCAGATCATAGGCTGCTCGCTCACAGCACCATGGGAGCCAAGATGAATCCTCAAAATCTACAAATCAGATATCATACTGCTGAGTCATAGCACAGGAGCCAAAGGTCAGATGTTGGGTATAGCTCAGTGAGAAGGAATTTTGCCAGAACATCCACATGTTTCAGATGCAGGCTGCACCACCCAAGAAACTCCCTCACATCAAATCATAAAATAAAGGATAATTACATAATACTGAGAATCATGGCCTAGCTGTGTTGACACATACCATTAACGATCACAGTCCACCCCTTGTTAGCTTGGAACCTGTGCACGTCTCCTTAAACTCTGTATGAGATCTAAATAAACACACTTGTACCTATTATGATACAACTAAAGCGCACAGCTGAAAACATTAGCCATGTTGGCATCTTCTAGTCTGTAATTATTAAAATATGAGAATGAGCTTTGGGGGCATGAGAAAGATGGGTGGTCTTCTCTGGTGCAACCTCTTGCCTCTGAAAACCCACTGGAGGGTCAGCTGTGAGTTGGTTTCAACTCAACAGTATATAACAATAACAAAATATGAAGGGGAGAAAATAAATTATGCCTGTTTTCCATTACCGTTGATGCAACTGCTATTCATACCAACCCTACAGAACACGGTAGAACTGAACAAGACTGAAAATCTCTACAGAAGCAAATTCCCCCATCTTTCTCTTGTAGAGCAGTTGTGGGGTTAAGACCTCTAGCTTTGTGGTGAGCTGTCATAACTGCTGCACCACCAGGACTCCCATTCACGTGTAAGAAAACAAGGAAGAAATACACATAACTAGTACAGTCCTGTTTCTACAGTGAAGCGTTGTGTGCAGAGCTAAATTCCTATCCATGTAAAATGCTGGTAAGAGTTTCTCTGTTGTAGGTGCTGAATCTCGTGCAGTCCTATGTGACCCTCCGGGTTCCGCTGTACGTCTCCTACGTGTTCCATTCTCCTGTGGGCATTGGCGGCTGGCAGCATTTTGATCTGAAGTCAGAGCTCCGTTTGACATTTGTGTATGACACTGCCATCTTGTGGAATGATGGGATCGGCAGCCCACCAGAAGCTGAGCTCCAAGGTGGGTCACTAAGATTTGGAAAACTGCTCTTTTCATCACCTGGTTTATTTACAGAGGGTCCCAGGTTATAATGTCTGACTTATCTTCAACTCATAGTTACCAGCCAAGCCCTGTAAAGCTTATAATATTAAAAATATGAACTACAGTCTGTAGATCCTAATAGCAAATGGGCACTGCTTTAAAAACATTATCATATTAAAGATGTTTCAGTGTTTCTTTTATATTTCTACACACTAATTATTCAAATATGTGTGTCAGCCACTAAAAACAAGAGGGAGGAAATTGAGACTTTTTATGAACTTCTACAGTCTGATATTGAGCTTGTAGTCAAGATGTATTGGTGGTTGGAGAGGAGTGCTGAATAGCCTGTGGACTGTCAAAAGAACAAACAAGTCTGTCTTAGAAGAAATGCAACCAGGGTGCTTCTTGGAGGCAAAGATGGTGAACCTTTATCCACATGCGTTGAGCATGTTGTCAAAAGGGCCTAGTCATGGGAAAAAGACTTCATACTGGGAAAGGTTAGGGGTCAGAGAAAGAGAAGACCCCCTCAGAGTGACATTGGCTGTAACAAAGGATGGAGTGTAAGGACAGACAAGAATAAGGCAAGAGTCAGATCTTTTCACAGGTTCTCCATGAGTCATAGTTGACAGCACATAAGAAAAATGCAAAAGTTAGAGGAAAAGAAGATTGCTGATTTTGAAGCTCCTTCTCATATACGTTGGACATGTTGCCCGGAGGGACCAGTAATTGGAAAAGGACATCATACTGGAAAAAAGGACATCATACTTAGAAAGATGAAGGGATAGCACAGGAGTAGAGGACCCTGGATGAGATGGATTGACACAGTAATTGGGGTAGTGAGGGCAGGTGTATTAGAGACGGTGAGATTGGCTCAGGACAGGACAGGCCTCAGAGCTGTTGTTCATCGGGTCACTATGAGTTACAGACAACTCAGTGGTACTTAACAACAAGTTGGAAAATATAGTGTTGGTACCAGAAATGAGACCAGAAATCATGCGGTTATGTTTTGTATTATCAATAACGTCTTATTCATTCCAAATACCTTTTTAAAAACAAATGCAGGGGAAAAAAGAAAGAAAGAAAAGAAAAAAAAACAAATGCAGAGACTTGTACACATGAACCTCACCTGCTGGGATGCATAAGAATGTTATTGACTAAATCTGTGGGAAAAGACAATGGAAAAGCTCAGTCTCATCAGTTAGATCAAGGCAAGGGGTCAAATGTAGAGTAGACTAGACAATCAATTGTTCCTCTGTAAGTGGAAATTGCAGCTGAAGAAAATGAAAACAAGTTCCGTAGAGCCAATATGTGACCTTCAGTTGATCCTACCAGAAATTAAAAACCTTCTTAAGAACAGATTTGATGCACTGAACACCAGTAACCAAAGACCAACAAGTCGTGAAAGAATATCATCTATGAGGAGAACAAAAGGTCATTGTAAAAGACAGGGAAGAAAGACTTAAATGGATGTCAGAAGCAACTCTGAAATTTGCTCTACAATGTAGCAAAGCTACTCAAGTGAAAGGAAGACATGATGACATCTCTAAGAGAACTAATCAGAAGATTCCAGAGAACAGCTTGAGGTGATAAAGTATTAATAACAGGATATGCAAAGACTTGAAGTTCTTAAACAAAAAGAGAAGATGCTCGGCGTTTCACAAACTGAAAAGCTCAAGTTGCAAGTCCACTCCAATTGATGATAATTCTCCATCCAGTTTCTGAGGCTCTGAATCTTTTTTTTAAACTTTATTCTTTTTGTGTGCGTGTACCGTCAAATCAGATCTGACTGGTACAGGAGGAGATTGTCCCTCCTTCCCCGGCAGAGCATCTGGTGG